ATAAAATAATACAACTTTTAGGAAAGATGATCCCCTGTTTAAACAAGAAATACTTGATATAGAAGATCTGGTAAAGGCTGAACAAAAATAAAAATGCTGTCCATACTTTTTATCCAGGGAACTTGAACAGAATGCAGATATTCCTTTCATGCCGTACAATTACTTATTACATTCAAAGTCGCGAAAGGCACAAAACAGAGATTTACAGAACAATCTTATTCTTTTTCATGAAGCGCACAATATTGAAAAAAATTACGGAGAAGCAGCGTCGTTACAGGTATCGTAATTACGGATAGAAATAAAACTCGTACAAAAAGACTCCATAATCGTCTGAAAACTTTTTATAGATAAGTAGCACAGACATTGCAATGTGTATTGATGAAATAACAAGTGTAATGGAAATCATGGCTAATGATGCTGAGCAACAAAACGATTTCGTGATGGAAAGTTCAGGAAACGTTCAGAAGGACTTTACCGCGGATGATTTGTGCATTCTAAAACCTATATTCTTACAATTTGAGAAAGCTATTGATGCTATAAAAATTTCGAAACACGATGAGGGGGACACACATCCTGGTGGATATATTTTTTAGCAGAGGCACAAGTTAATAATCAATAATTTATTGATTTATATAAATGCTTGGGATAAATTATAATATTAAATCTTTCATTAAAGATAACCCATGGCAAAGAGCATCTCGTGATAGATTGTTTCTTACTTGACAACTGTAAATGACTCGCCATTTGCAAGAAAAGATAACCCACTTCAAAAATTTTGCGACTTATTCAAAATAGCATTTAGCAGTAATAGCATACGACACAGAGAGAAGATTGAACAATGTTACAAAGTGTATATCCAAGTAGAGGAACTAAAAAAAACTAAGAAGAATGATGTTTGGGAAAAGAAAAAAACAGTTTTAAAGAAAGAAGGCAAATTGATCAGTTATTGGTGTTTCAGTCCTGGATTTAGGTAAATTTTTGTTTCGTCATTGTATTTCATTCTTAACAAAATGTATTGATATACTTGCGTATGAATTACAATTGTCAAGTATGCAGCAACTAATGGAAAAAGGTGTACGTTCGGTAATTTTAACAAGTGGTACATTATCTCCTTTGAAACCTTTCATATCTGAACTTGGAATATCAATTGAAGTTCAGTTAAAATTCTCGGCCTAGGCCCTGATGGTTATTCATTGAATTCTTCCTTCAACACAAGGTATTTTTACCAACTATGTACTGTGTATTTATGTATAATGTTCTGCAGTATGTACAAAATTTGCTTTTTCTTTCAGGAACGATTCAAAGTACATAGCATCTCTAGGACGAACAATATTCAATTTTAGCTGCCTGATTCCTCATGGTATATTAGTCTTCTTTTCTTTTATCCAATATATGTAAGAAGTAGTAAATATGTAAAGAAGAATGGCAAAATATGGGATTATGGACTAAAATCGCAGATCGCAAAGTAATTACTTTTTCATTTAACATGATTGCAGGATAATTTTCAAGCCTATATATGTGGAACCGCAACAGAAAGATGGATTCTTGAATGTTATGAATGAGTATTGTGAAAAAATTAGAGATCCCGCTTGTAAGGGGGCACTTTTTATGGCATTTGCAGAGGGAAAGTGAGCGAGGGATTGGACTTTGCTAACGTAAATGGAACAGCTTTACTCATATTATGTTTGTGTGTATGAAAA